GCCACTGTACTGCCCTTGCTGTTCTCTTTTCCTCTCCTGTGGCTGATCATCTCCCTCTTCTTCCTCCACCTCCTTCAACTTCTGCTCTTCTTCCTTTTTCAATCTTTCCTTCTCCCTGGCCACCTCCTCCTCTATCTTTCTCAACTTGGCCGCCTGCTCCTCCTTCAAGGCCTTCTTCTTGGCCTCCTCCTTTTCCTTTCTCTCCTGCAGGATAGCGGCCATCTTCTCCTCCTCCTTCGTGTATGGCTGGGTGGCGGTACCACATCGAGTGGGCCCTACTCTACACGCAAAGGTATGCCAAAACCCCAGAGGAAAGAGGAGACGCCAGAGGGTCCCCCAGAGGGAGAACCCAACCAGCAACCCATACATCGGGTAGTCGTCCATCGTGGTGTTGGTGCACGACAAGGGTCCCACTCCTCACCACGTAGCCCTACCCAGACACACTGACCTACTGACTGACTTCCTAAGGACCATAGGATAAGACCCTGTCAACTATGGCCACTACCAACCCAAGACTACTCTAAGGCTGTCACTACAGAACCAAGAGCTGATCAGGAGGTATTTAAGAAGATCCCCCAAACTTCGCAGGAATTCTTTAACGTTGCAACAGGACGACGCGATCAGCTTGGCCTTTCTGGCGATTTCAGCCCACAACTCAGCCCGTCCAGCCTCCTGCTTGGTCAAAAACTTGGGCAGCAGCTCCGGCTTGGTCAAAAACTTGGGTCAAAAACTTGGGCAGCAGCTCTGGTCAACGCCTTGGTCAACGCCTTGGTCAACGAGATAACACCAACTCCAGCTTGGTCAAAAACTTGGGCAGCAGCTCTGGTCAATGCCGAGTCAACGCGGTCAACCCCAGTCAGTGCTTGGTCAACACCCCTGGTCAACGTCGGGCAACCCTCTGGTCAACGGTCTGGTCAACGCCCGGTCAACTCCTCACCTTGGCTATGGCTCCCGACACCTTCACCTTCGTCACCCTCGCCGTCTACTTCCCCCTTCCTTCACTTTCTCTCTCTTCACTTTCGCTGTATATATATATATATGTGCGAAGGTGGGAAACCCTTCACTAAAACTGCAAAACAGTGAAGACTGCAGTAAAAGAAGAACAGAAGTTTGTGTCGTTTTTCTTTGTTTGTACACTGCACCCTAACGCCCTCAAAGAAAAAGTTCGAAGGGTGAAAATGAGAATAAAAAATGAAGAAGGAAGTGCAGGTGTGCTGAAAAATGAACGTGGTAGACTCTTCACCAAAACTGCAAAACTGTGAAAGAAAGAAGAATGCAGTACAAGAAAGAAGATGTTTGTGTCACCCTTATTTTATTTTTATTTTTTCTCCCTCTGCCTATCGATTTTCCTTTTCTGCTCCTCTCTCCCTTGTGTTTGACACCTCTTCC